CCTGGCAACTTGGATCACAGCAGCCCCCACAGTAGATTTGCCCACTCCAAATTGATTCCCGACTGACCGGTAGCTGTCTGGCGTTGCAAGCTTCCACAGGGCTATCGCCACTCGCTTCTCCACTGTGAGGGCTGCTCTCATCCTGGTATTCTGGCGCTTCAGGGCAGGGGAAAGCAAGTCACAAAGTTCCATGAAAGTGCCCTTACGCATGCGAAAGTTTCGCAGCCACTGGGCATCGTCCCAGACCTGCAACACGATGCGGTCCCACCACTCTGTGCTTGTTTCCCGGGCCCAGAATCGGCGGTCCACGGCATGAACCTGCCCCAGTAACACCAAGATTTCCACATTGCTGGGGCCTGTGCCTTGTGAGAGGTCCATGTCAATTTCCTCATCACTATCGTCGCCGCGCTGCAATCGCCTCCTCCTCAGCTGGTCCTGGTTTGGCTTTGGCATGTCCAGGAGGCTCTGCATGTTTTCCAGGACAATGCGCGTGGTGTTCATAGTGCTCAGAATTGCCGCGGTGATCTGAGCGGGCTCCATGATCCCAGTGCTGGCTATGGCGTCTGGTCTGAAAAAAAGCGCGAAAGTAGTATCTGACGGACCAGGGGAAGAAGGGAGGGAGGGAGAGAGGGAGGGAGGGGCGAGTGACACCGCGTACAGGTACAGGGAATTAAAATCAAGAAAGGTGGCTTTGCATCAGGGAGAAACACAAACAACTGTCACACAGAATGCCCCCCCCCCCAAAGATTGAACTCAAAAGCCTGGGTTTAGCAGGAGGGAGGGGGGAAGCAAATGAATACAGAATAAATCTATTTTTTACATCTTAAGACGACGGTGCAGCATGACTGATAGCCCTTGGCATTTTCTGGGTGCTTGGCAGCAAATACTGGGCGCTTGGCAGTAAGCCTTCAGGTATATTGCACGATCTGATGCCCACTGCAGTATGACAACGATGGATACCAGTCGTAATATACTATCTTCTGCCCAAAAGGCAAGGGGTTGCTGCTGTGTAGCAATGTTGCCCCATCCTGCGAATAATACATCTGATAACCATCATCATCAAGGCAAGGGGGCTGGTGCAATGCAGCCCCACGGCTGCCAGCCCCATGTCTGCCAGCACCCAGATAGCCCTCGGCCTCTTCTGGGTGCTTAGCAGACAATATTGGGCACTTGGCAGAAAATAGCATACTACGACTGATAACCATCATTGTCTGCCCGGGTGCCCATGATCGACAGCCACTGCAGTACGATGACGACGGTTACCAGTCGTAATATACCATCTTCTACCAAAAGGCAAGGGGCTGGTGCAATGCAGCCCTACGGCTGCCAGCCCCACGGCTGCCTGCACCCAGATCGCCAATGAAGGCTACCAGTCATGCTGCACCGTCTACCGCCAAAAGGCAGTAAGCTGCTGCTGCTGTTTAGCAATGCAGTCCCACGTTTGCCGGCACCCGGAAGACATATGGTGACGGTGAGCTGAGCTGAGCGGGCTCAATGCTTGGCGTGGTATGTTGTCTGCACAGGTAACCCAGGTAAAAAGGCGCGAATCTATTGTCTGCCGTTGCTGTGACGGCGGGGGAGGGGCCTGACGCAATGTACCCAGAACCCCTCGCGGCACTGCTTTGCATCATCCGGGCATTGCGATCTCAACCCATAATTCCAATGGGCGCCGGAGGCTCCGGGAACTGTGGGATAGGTACCATAGTGCAATGCGCCGGAAGTCGACGCTAGCCTCGGTACTGTGGACGCGGTCCGCCGACTTCATGCACTTAGAGCATTTTAGGTGGGGACACACACAATCGGCTGCATACAACCGGTTTCTATAAAACCGGCTTCTATAAATCCGACCTAATTCTGTAGTGTAGACATAGCCTGAGTGACCAGCAGGTGTCTCTAGAACACTTCCCATAACCCTTGGCTTCAGATGTGATTGGCTGGGATGAACACTGGCAGGATTGACACTGACTCATGCTCTGCTGCCATGTGGCAATGACCCCCCCACTTCTCTCAGCAAGCGAGGATGGAAGTAACGCTCTCCTTAACATGCCACAGTGGGCCTCTTTTCCCACACTCAACTCCACAACTCATAAAGAGATCTCCATTCAGGATAATGGCTCTTAACCAATCTAATGCTGCCTTGGAACTAACCGTGCCCTCTGATCATTGAATGACCCACCCGCTCATACCTGGGTATGTCTAATTGGCTCTCCTCACCCTCTCTGCTTTACTCTTGTCTGGGAGAAGGGACGAGAGACAGGTACAGAATCAATACTGCTGCGTCCTCCACCCTGACGCATCTGGTTCCAGGAGTTAAGCATGAGAACTTAACTGCTGGAGTGCAGGTTAGGTTTACCCAAGAGCCTTCTTGAGCCAAGGCCAAATTCTGTGAGCATTTCCTTTTGCGCTGAGAGGGAGCCGTGCACATGTGCATGTACTGCCCCGAAATCCCCCAGCCACAAACTAGGCCTAAATGAAGGACCTCAGTGTGTATTTAGGCAGCTAAGTAAGTGGGCTGACATTCAAAGGGAATGAGCACCCCAACTGCCGGCTTCAGCGGGAGCTGCAGTACGTACTCGGTCCCTCAGAGAATGGATTTAGCACCTGACATTAGGCCCCCAAGCTAGACAGTGGTGGCCCCTCCTTTGTCTGAAAGGATCCAGATGTGGACTCGGGGTCTTGCACACCACTGCAAGCTAAAATGCTCTTAGCTGGGAAAGGGGACAGAACCAGAATCCAGGCAGGACTAGCTCACTGCACCTTGCAACTCGTCTGGGACCCAGGGACGCTCTGCTTGATCTCAAAAGGAAGGCGAGTTCCTTCTTGAATTGGGTGGGGGGGGCGGGGAATGGGACTTGTGACAAATCGCTGACTGTGGTCCGGGATTGTCCATGGAGGGTTTCCATGGAAATAACCCTGATACTTGTACCCACTTGTTATAGCTGCAGCTAGGCTGTGGCACTCCACCCAGCTGAGGTTTATGGAGGAGAGCAGAAATTAGTTAAGGGGTTTGGTAATTCTAACCTGCTGGCATAATCAGTTTCTCCTCTTTGCTTCCAGCTATTCCTGTACAATCACGTTGGCCAGAATGGAATAGGCAGTTCAGTAGGTAAGTAGAACTTCAGACTCTTGGGAACAAACCAATGAGTTTGTTCACAAGTTTCTGAGTTTCTAGATGTGCCTCTCTGGAGGCAAATAAACCGTCTAGACTCGTTCTCCCGTCTCCTCCAGAATTATCTGCCCTAGGGAAAAACAGGGAGATTGGTTGACCATTGGAAGAATTCATCTAGGGATGTGGTGGAATCTCCATCACCTGGACATCTTCTTTTAAATCAAATCATGGCCCCAACAGTTATTGGGCTCAATGCAGGAATTGCTGGGTGAAATTCAGTGGCCTGTAGGAAATCAGACTCAGTGATCACAGTGCACCTCTCTGGCCTTAAAATCACAACTAGTCACTGGTGCCACACAGTTGCTATTGCTGTTATTTTATAACTCTTCCCTCTCCACCCCTCCGCCAACACCCCATTTCTGCCTTCAAAACCTGTTTGTATGAAGGTCCCCAGCAAACCTTCCTTTGATCCAGGGTGCTCTGGGCTGAGCCTCACTCACTGTCACCCTTGTCAAAGCACCGAACTATGGTTGAGAGCTGCAGAATAAAGTGATGCTGTCACAGCCCAGAATGGTCTCTTCCTGCCCGCAGGCACTAGGGGAACAGAGGAGGGAAGACGTGACATTCTGAAAGGGAAGAGTAAATGTGTAATGCAGAACCCATCCTGCAGTGACCTCCAGAATAGTGTGTTGGAGATGGAGAGGGGACTCTTAACCTAACAGGGCCTTCCTGGGCTGCCTGTAACTGCAAATGGCTCTTGCTTCCAATTCCCTTGCTCCCCCCGTTGTCCCACTATGAACTCAGTGGCAGAACTGAGAGTTCATAGAAGTTAGAAGCACCTGGTAGATCCTGCCAGTACAGGGCTGTTCCCTACAGTAGAGTGTAGCAAATACACACATCTCTGACTGGATCGCTGTAGGATCTTGGCATACAGCAGGGCCAGCTGTGCTGTAGTACTGATACTCTTTCTCTTTGCAGCTATGCTAATTATATGTGGTGCCCTGGTGAATGGGCCTTATGCTCTCATTACGACAGCGGTTTCAGCTGACTTGGTAAGAATTACACTGTTTGTTTTTTCTTAGGGCAGGTCTACACTTAAAACACTGCAGCACTTTAGTGAAGACACTACCTACACTGATGGGAGCAGCCCTCCCACCGTGTGGCTACTCCACCCCCCCCCCCCCGACAGGCGGTAGCTGTGACAGCGGGAGCAGCCCTCCCGTCAACATAGCACTGTCTACACCAGGGGTTAGGTTGGTTTAACTGCATCGCACAGGGGGGTGGATTTCTCACATCCCTATGCGATGTAGTTACACGGACTTAATTTCCTAGTGGAGACCTGGCCCCTCTCGTCTCACTTGAGCCTTTTTTCTTATTTTTTGCCTGGCTCAAAGTTTGAGGCCTTCCATTCCAACTGCAGCTTTTTGTGCACTTCCCTCCACACAAAGGCTGTTCTGTCTCTTCTGAGCTTCGCCGTAGAGGGTTGTTACTGGTGGATCACGTGCAAATACCCGCATCTTGGGCCTCTCATTAGTGCAAATCCCTCCTCCCCTCCCTGGGCTAGGAATGCACACAGCACAAGTGCAGGAAAGTCTTCTCCTCAAGTGTAAAGCTGACACCTGGGTTGAGCCCTCCTGGCGGCAGGGGGACAAGGGCTGGGACGCTGCATTAGAAACGTGGAGGGATTTAAGTGACGTGGTACGGAGAGAGTGCTCAGACCTCTCCGAGGCAGTTCAGAAAGATTTGTGGTGTTACGCAATCCGCTGGCTGTAAGAGTCCCTGAGGTAAATTCTCCAGAGCAGCCAAGCATAAGAAGGTGTTTGCTAGTATCTGGTTTCAAAAGATTTAGTCCAGTCCAAGTGTTCCTCAGTTGTGCAAGGATATTTTCTGTTGCTGCTGCTTTTAAGACTAGAACGTCGTCTTCCCAGTTCTGGCACACGCTTGGGCTGACACTCTTCAGATCAAATGTAAGACTAGCTGATAAACAGCTCTATGGTCTGACAGCACAGAGTCCCATTCCTTGCCAGGGCCCCACTGTCAGCAACTGCCCAAAAGTTCCTCTAACAAACTGGAAGGCCTTCCGAGGGACAGGGGAAGCTGTCTACATGCTGCTCGCTTTCTCCTCTAAATGACCTTCTCCTTAGGAGCTTCCCATTAAGACTCTAATAGAGTGGGAAGGTAGCACCACTATACTTAAGGTGTTTTTACAGCCTGCAGTTGGGCTTGCATCAAGCTAACTTGCATGTACTTCAGTGGGAGCAAAGTGGACCCAGCACAATACGCTTTTGAAAATTCCATCCTTAATTCATAGGGAAGTAACTTTGGGTTGTTTTTTAAAGGTAACACTTTCAGCTTGTTCAAATTGAAGATATTTCTACCTGCTTTTGTAACTGGCTTAAAGATAGGATTTTGGGGGTGGGGGGAAGGAAAAGAAGGGACTTAAAATCTAACTCTGGTTGAATTTCAGTGATATTTGGGCACTTGGCTCTGAAACCTCTTTGAAATCCCTAGCCTTAAAAACTTTACAACTGTGGAGTTAATAAAATCAGATGGGATTAAAATCACTGGATTTTTAGCTCTCGCAGGAAGGGTCTGTGTTATGTTTGTGCAGTGCCTAGTACGATGGAACCTTGTACCCGATTGGGGTCATTGGGCACTACAGCAATGGAAGTCCTCAGTAATTATCCTATTATCCATTCATCAATCTTACTATCAACTCAGGCAAGCTACGGAGGTGCCACCCCCACCCCTCCTCCTCCAAAGATTCAGTACAAATGTAGCTGAAACACTGTAAGTTACAGCAGAGAACCTGACCCAGTATGGCCCTTGTGTTGGGCAGCCAGATGCAGTAAATCTGCAAGGAGGCCAGCAAAAAATCAATTCCCCCCCGCAACCTTCAGTCTTCAAAAATCCCTCCGCTCCAACCAGCACAAGCCAGGACTCCAGAGAGGCCAAAGCAGTTTGCTCTGCCTGAAGGAGAAAGTACTTCAGCCATTGTGAGCTCTAGTGCTGCTCGCCTGCCTTTGGAATGTGGCTGTAGGAGGCAACATGAAATGTGCAGAAAATCAGATGATTGGAATGCTGCCCCCTCTTGGTACATGGAAGGGGAGAAAGTTCCCAAAGATGTCGCTTACTGGTCTAAGAATCTCCCTCCCCAGGGCAAGTATTCAAGAAAGGGGTTTCCCCTCTTCAGGAAACTGTCTCCCTAGAGGGTGTGTTCCTAAAACTGCCTGTCACCGAAGAAACCTCTCTGGCATTTTGATACCAGCATTCCTCGCTGGAGACAGGTCCTGGACTAACCCAGTAACCACAATGAGTCAGGGTTCAGGATGCACTGAATGGATCACAAATTGTACCCCTCATTTTTACTCCAGTATTTTTTACTTCCCCTCCTGCACAGGGAACTCACGAGTGTCTCAAAGGAAATGCAAAAGCCCTGTCCACTGTTACAGCCATAATTGATGGGACTGGATCTATAGGTGAGTAGGGTTGGCTGTACTAACCAAGGGGGGCAAACTGTTCCAAGAACTCCATACAATAGCTGGAGAACCTAATTCAACCCCCAGCTCTCCTGCCCCCAGTAGGGTCTATGTTCCTCTTGTCCCCAGGGTCCAGCACCCTTTGCCCTAAGGGAACACAGGCTGCCGGTGAGCTGGGAATGGTCCAGAGCCAGCCTGCTTTACTCAAGAGAAGGGAAAGGGAGAGAGACTCTTTACTTCCCTCTGCAGGGATGGTGATTGGGTCCCGTAAGCTTCCGCCAGCCATTCTCGGGCAGGCAGAGAGACGGGAAGGGAGGGGATAAGACCCAGGGGAACGGTTGGGTTCCCGCGGCCCCGGGGGGTGGGAGCTAATGGTGCAGGTGCTGCAAGGAGCTTTTCAAACTGCCAAGTAGAATCAAACTCCACTGCTCAGAGGCCCCGGCGATTAAATGGGCCCCAGCGCCCGATAAATAACCCTGCTGTGGGACTGAGCTAGGCAGTGAGGCACACCCAGGCTGCGGCAGGAGGAAAGCTACTGCCGGCTGCTCCAGCTCTGCCTGTGGCTGGAGCCAGGGGAATCCAGGCACACTCGCTTCCTGAGCAGGGCTGGGAGGCTAGTGCCAGCCATGTGTGGAGACTGCTCAGAGGGGAGACCTGGAGCAAGCTCTTCCGCTCTCTTCTGGCCCTTGGGAAGTGGGAGCTGGATCTGCAGGCCCAGCTGCAGCATCCGGCGAGTCTGGCCAGTGCCTGATAGCAGGGGCAGTGGGAGAACACAAGGGGGCATTGCTGAACAGCAGCGGCTGCCAAGATGGGAGTGGGAGCAAGGTGAGAAACTGGCAGGGGAGGAGATGACTGAGAGCAGGCAGAGGAGCTGGAGCCTGCAGTGCTGAGCATGCAGCCTTCAAGCACTCCAGCACGTGTGCCAGAACTGACGTGGGGGCTGGGCATGGGTTTTCTGCCCTGCATATGCCAATGCCCGGGATGGTTCATGGCCGCTAGTGATCTGCTTTGTTTGTCCTTTGCAGGTGCTGCTCTGGGCCCCCTGCTGGCAGGGCTGATCTCTCCCACTGGCTGGAACAATGTCTTCTACATGCTAATAACAGCCGACATCTTGGCATGCCTGGTGGGTTTCTCTTGAGCCTGCTGTGGCTTCTTGATGCAGATTAGGGGATTGGTGTGCAGCTGGGCCAGGGGTTGTGTCTGATTTCACAAGCTAAGTGTCTGGCCTGGCCTGCATTTGGATGAGTAGCCGCTAAGGAAAGGCCAGGAGCTGTAGCACTTCGTGCTGGTGCCTGAGTATTTGGTGCGCTTCTCTCTGAGGCAGCAATGAATTCGTGTCCCAGCGTCCTGAGGGGGTAACATCGTGTTTGACGGACAGCACCCAAAGCCCTTGGCATGCTTGTCAAGGGTAGAGGGAGGAACTCCGGTGCTGTGACCAAATGCCAGTGGGGTTAATTGCATTTGTCTCCCAGTGTTACTCCTGGAGTGTCAGCTGGATACAGGACTCTTCATTTCCTGCCCTAAACGCTTGTGTAGTGCTGCCGTGCACATGTCAAACAGCAACTGGTTCCATTTCAGAGCGGGGAGCATTTCCATAGCTTAGAACACGCTCTGGGAGCCTTCAAGATAACAGGCAAAAGCGCTGTGTAAATAAGACTGTCGCATGCATGGTGAAAGTGGGGGTCTCTATAAAGCCAGGCACAATGAACAGCCTCTTCCGTCTGTAGTGCTGCTTTTAGGCACAGCAGGTTCTCTTCGCCATTGTGAAGTGGTTCCTAGATTTGTTACACAGCCTCGGCTCTGAACCGCTTTGCTCTTCCTAATTCCTTTGCGCTGCACTGGGGCATCGAAAGAAAATCTGCACTCTTTTCTCCCCCTTCTTCTCTGACAGCCAATGCTGCTGTTAACTGGCCAGGGGTCGCTGAAAGGGGCAAAGTGGTCAGTGGGCAGGATACCTGGGTTCTATTCCTGGCTCTATCGCTGACCTGTGCACAGCACCTAGCACCACCATGGGGCCCCAGTCTGAGTTGGAATCTGTGCTCTTGCAGTATTCCTCCCCCCCCCCCACCCCCGACGACACCACTGCTCTGCCTTTTCGCTGGCTTCCCACTTCCATAAAGAGGTAACTCTGCTGGAAGTGAGCCAGGCTCACTGTGACTTGCATCCTGCACCTTTCCGTGTCATTGCTGGACATCTGCTCTACATCAGGAGCTTTTCCACTCCTGTTTTGTCGGCTTTTTGATTGCAGGTGTGCGTGTTTTGCTTTGCAGGAACACGCTAGAAAACAAGACTTTGCAGGAATAGTCATGGAGATGGCAAACGATGTAAATGTTTCAGAGCATTTGCAGAAAGCAAAGCCTGTATTTAACCAAGTGTTGTCCTTGGAAACCTGAGGTTAGGAATATGCTCATCCAATCAGGGGTTAGCTATAGACCCTGTGACTCCTTTTTCCCATCAGAATTGTGGCTGTTGAATTCTCATAATGAAAATGCTCTCAATCGACAAACAGAGAATTATTTCCTGGATCTGTGGTGAATAAATAATACATTTATAGATGATACATGGCCTGACAAACTAAATTCAGACTAAATCATTCATCCAGTTGTTTGCCTACTTCTCATTCACTCCAGGGACAGGGAAGGTGGGGGGACTGTATCTTCAATACTTTCCCAGAGGCTAGAATCATAAGTCCGATATTCATCTTGAGTGTCTTTTCCCTTCCAGTTCCTTTCCCGGGTGGTGTATAAAGAGATTCAAGGATGGTGTGGCTGCTACACGAGAAAAAGAGGGTATGTGCTTCTAAAATCCCAAGTTTGCCGTGTATTTCTATGACTGTTCTCAGATCTCCTGTAACACTGGCAGAGAAGCCCCCACTTCCAGCGGTGTGTCCTGACCTGGCAAAATATGCAGGTATGGTACATGCTGAGTGCACATAGGAGTTTTAGATATAAAGTAGGTGCCATTGAAAAGGGAAACATACTGTACTTGGGTAATTTACCTCTACTGCTGCATTCCCTGCATTTAGAATGGGAAGCACCCCAAATGCTGCTATAAATGTTTTGTCTTTATCCAGTCTTTGATGGAACCCCCTGTGCAATGAATGCCTCCCCACCCCCTATCCTATCCCCCAAGCATGCCCAAAGGGACACCTAGAGCCTGGGCCACAGAAGAACCCAGGGAGAGTTATGACTGTTCTAATGACCCAAGAGTTCTACCTCCAGCCCTGCAAAACCCTATTAATGTGTTCTAAATGAATTGTCCTTGTGTGTCTTCTTAGCTCTTCTGTGGCACTAACACATGCAGTAGTGTTGGATGGGAAATAGTTTGTATTGTGAGTATCTCTGGTATTTTGCTGCTGCGGCTAATTCCATCTGCGATTTATCCTGATTTTTTTCTTTCTTGGCATTTGTGGGGTAAACATGAAGGTGTCTGTTCCGTGGCTAACTAAAGAAGAGCAGAGACCCAAGGCACAGTAGTCATACAACAGACTTCTAAGGGAGCAGCTTCCAAAGACAGGGTCCAATATCTCCATCTCCAGTGCCTGACTGTGACAGCGGCACATGCTGTGCTCTGGGTCATATTGCAGAGTAGTGGGGCTAACTGACCAGAATACTATCTTGAAATGTCCAAACACACTCTGATCTGGACACCAAATTTTTAGTCCTAGAGTATAAGGCCAGAAAGGACCATCAGGTCATCTTGTCTGACCACCAACTAGTGTGTTAAACTAACAAACTACAAGTGGCAAAGTACATAGCCCCACTGCTCCTGTAACCTTGCCAGTGAATCTGATGATAAAAATATAAATGTAATGATGTACCAATCAAAGTAATTTCCAAGCCTGTGTAAAATGAAGGTAATAATCATGTGTCTGAATCAGTATTGTCATAAAAATACTCTTGTCCTGGAGTCAAAACAAATTGACGAGATTGTAGACTGCATTTCTCAGAGGCCATCTTTGCTCTTGAACTGACAATCCCAGGGCAGCTTGTGGTGGTGTAGGGCTGCGCTTTGCCAAGGGGTGTTCCTGCCATGCTCTCAGGAGCCTGGTACACTATATCTTGATTATGTTTACAGGTAAACAGCTTTTTTGGTAGCCATGTTCTGGGCCCCTGTGTTACGGTAAGTCTGGCCCAAGTCTCCTCCTCAGCCCTCGTGCAGGGTAATAAGACTCCTGCTTTCATGTCTCGGCTACCTTGTCACAAAGGGCCCAGTTCTAGCTTCTCCAACCTGCACGAGCTCCCTTTGGAGTGATGGGAGTGACATGTGCCCGTCTGCCGGCTGTGAGCGGCTCTGGCTTTGGGAATGTGCCACTCTGCGCTTGCTGGGTCCACCAAAGGGTGGCAAACCTGCTTCCTTTATGTTGGTCAGTCAGGGTGATGCTTCAGGCTCTGTTTAGAGCCCTTTGGTCCAGTCTGATCCCTTGGGAAGGGAATATGGTGGGCTCAGCCAGCTAATGGCAGCTGGACCTCAATTTATATCTGGCTGGTTCTGCCTTCTTGAGAGAGTCTCCTCAATAGCAGCCTGGAAAAGTAGGGCTATAGCCAGAGTGCCTCTTGCTGCATTTATGAGACAAGGTTCCCTTTCTTTGGGGCTTGTGAGGCTGGGAGAACTGGGCCAGAAAGCTGTGGGTTCAAGTCTCTCTGCAGTGTGATTCTGGCTCATCCTCAGGGCCGTGGGCATTGCAACACCTAACTTTTAGGCACCTAGAAACCCCTGGAACAAAAACAGGATCCACAAAGCCTGAGTTAGGTGCTAGTTTCCCTATGCAATGAATGGGGTGGGGGGAGGCGCCTAAGAATGGGACCAACAAAAGCCAGCCTCTCCTCCTCTGGATCTGGCCCGACAGTAACATCCCGTCCGCCAGCCTTTGGTGGCTGGGCTAGGAAGTTGGAACAGTCAGTTCTGTCCCCAAATTCCCTCTCAGCAGAAGGTTCTAATGTCTAAAGCTGAGGCCCATGTGGTCACTGAGGGCTGCCTCGCTGTCTGCATAATCACTGCAATGCTGGTGTCTCCTTAGGTTGGGACCCCCAGCCTCTGGAAGGTGCTGCAGCCACCTCAGCCCCTGGGTGGTCCTTGCGTGTCCCTCTTGGGTTGTTTCTTAGACTCTCACCATTTAGTTCCCCACTGGAATCAAATTAACAGCTGTGAGCTGCTGTCTGGGACACGCACTAGGCTCTTGCGTTAGCAGGAACCAAAATGGGGGTGGTATCTCTGCTGCCTTCTCTACCTGCTTGCTCCTGTTTCTCCTTCGGCTCTTTCCCTTGCACAAGGACTCCGTGGCTCTAAAACTCGGCAGGTGAGGTGAGCTGGGTGAGGGGCAGGATGTAAGTCCTAGTGACTTGGCTTTGGATTCTGGCACACTGCAGTTCTTGAACAATCTCCATCGGAGCAAAGTTCCATCTATCCCTGACTGGATCTGAGCACCTGGGAAGCGGTGGCTATTCAGGTTAAAAAGTGCTTCGGAAGCGTATTGAATGTAATTAAACTCATGAAAAGAAACTGTTCCTTGGCAGGCGCCTGCCTGGCCACGCTCCGTGGGCTGTGCTCTAATGGTGGTTCTTGTTCTCGCAGATTTAAAGAATTTTGACCTGACTCCCTGTGACCAGAGGCAGCGGAGTGCAACAGTGACGGGCTTTGCTGGCAGACCCCACCTTTGGATGCTCTGTTTAAAGTGGGAGGAATTTATGGAGGCAAAATGAACTGGGAAGATGAGTAGTTCTCTAAAACCCAACCACCACGGACTCTAATCATTGGCAGCAGCTTTATCCAGGGCGATGGTGCAGAGAAGCTGGTGTATTCTGGCCCATGACTGTCTTGTGAGGCATAACTGGGGCCTCTGTCTCTTACCCACTGCCTCTGCTCCTCTTCCATTATTCCTTTTATTATTAAAATGGTGCTAAACCTGTGTTGTAATGGAGCTTCTCTTTGTCCTGGGAGTGGCGGGAAATGTTCCCAAGGTCGCTGGGCCCCAGGAGCTGCAGAGACTGGCTTCCTTCTGTGCGATGTGCTAGAGCTTCTGGCCCTTGCCTTGTCGAGATCAGCAGTTCTGTCTCGGCACCAGCTGGTTCTCAAACGAATGACAATCCTCAGGTTTGAGCCCCACTTCTGGCTTTTCAGATGCCTCTATCGTCATTCGTTTGCAACATTGATTAACATGCTCAGCAACTGAGCTGAAAACGTGCCAGTTCCTGTGGCTGGATTCTTTCTCATTCTGGACAGTTTAACACAGTAGGTACTAATAAATGGATAGTGATTAGCTATCAAACAGATATTGCGAGCAAGAATTTTGTTTTTGGGAACAAGACAAAGGGTTGTTTTTGGGAACAAGACAAAGGGTTGTGTCAATGCTTTTGGCTCTCTGAGGTCATAATACAGAGTAGTGCTAGACACTAGAACGCTGCCATTTGGACTGAAAAAAAGACCCGTTTAGTTTAGTCCAGGAATCCCGCTTCTAGATTTTTCTGATAAACACAAACTAAGTTTTATTCTGTGCTTTGCTGTTTCCAGAACCACTCTTTTTACATTAGAAGGAAGCAGCATCTTTCATAATGGTCCCGGTTTATAATTTTAAAACCTTGTATGATGGTTTGTAGTTCAGAAACTGTGAGTGAGATGATGATCTCATCCGGCCTCTGCAAAGTGAACTAGATTCCTATCATTTGAAAGATCTTAATCTACATCTGCAGGCCACTGACAGTTGTTTTAAGAGTAACTTTGATAATGTTTGTAAGGACATTCTGGCTGGGTTGTTACACCATGCTTATCACTGTTCTATTCAAGTGCCAAACATCCCTGTGAGGGGAGGCGGGGAAAAGATTCTCTCTCCTACAGCCTCTGTATGTCCAGAAGCAGCTAACTAATATATTCCTCCTCTTTCTTAAAGTGTCTTTAGGAGCATTGGTGTAGATTGACACATATTTGGGGAGGTCAATTCCAGCCAGGCCAACGGGGCCGTGCATGGGGGGTAAATTCCACACCTGCCCCAAGCTTGCAGTTTGGGGTGCAACACTCCCATGTCCCCCTAAACTACACCATGTCTAGGGGACATTGTGCTAGAAAGAGAGATGCAAGGGGAAGAGGAGAGTGGTGGTAGGGGAGGGAAGAGACCCATTTAAATCCAATATGCCAATCTGTGCCAGCTAAGTACTTAAGTACAGGGCTTCTATATCTTAACAATTTAACACCCATCTAATTCTCAGCCTTCCAAAAAACAATGAAAAACCGGTAAGTTGTCTTCATGACCAATAGCCTATCAAATCGTCTTTTATCAATCCACCCACCATCTCCAGTAGTGCTGGGTGCATCACTCGCTCTGAAGAGCCAGATCCTTGCTGCCAATGTTTTAGTCTAACCAGCTGGGCGTAACATTCGTTCTTAATGAGTAAGGCAGAGCAGGACAAGCTCCTCGTTGGTTCTGATTCTTTCCCCGCCTCACTTTAGCAGTTTTATAAGAGCAAAGCGATAGGTCCTTGTTCCTTGATTGTGTAAAGAAAAGGGATAAAGTCCTCTCCAAATGCCCTCAGTGCTGCTCCGGGAGAATTAGTCTCTCAAAAAGCCATCCACTTGTAAGCAAATACATCCCTACTCCTGTGCTGGGAAAGCAAGAGAGGCTCCTGTTAGGTACATCTACACTGTAAAGAACAATCCGCGGCATAGAGTGTCAGGGCCTGGGGCAACAGTGCAGACGTTCCCACTCCGGCTCTGAAATGTGGCAAGGGAAGAGGGTCTCGTAGCTCGGGCTCCAACTCAACTGGCACCCACTTCCGCTGCTGTTTTAGCCCCGCAGTCTGAGCACCGCGAACCCAAGTCAATTGATCCAGGCTCTGGGACTCTGAGCCGGGGGGGTTTCTTTGCAGTGTAGACATAGTATAGCAAAAGGGTGACACATGGAAGCGCAGGCAGAAATCCAGTCATTCAGGAACCAAACATAAATCACAGTGCAAGCATGGAACTGCCTTCAGCAGAAGAACTAGCTGAGCATGCTGGGAAGAGATGGAACGTTATTATCTGGCAGTTGCCTCCCGTGGGCCAGGGTTCGATCCACAGAGGGACTTCGCTGCTTAATGAGGCAGCAGGGCACCCTGGCACTGACCTACCCTCTGCTCAGCTGCTGCTAGCCCCTGTGGGCACTTTTGTTTCTGGTGGGGGGGGAGCTTGCACAAAACTGCTCAAATTTTGATGCCACTGAGCTACTTAGGTCCTAGTTCAGGCCTAAGCCCTGGTGGGATTCTCAGACTAGGCGTTCCCCTGCCTATCCCAGCTGTAGGGTCCAATCCATGAAGCCTTGTCAGCACACCTAACCTGTACAACAGGCACTTTGGGGCTCTGTGTCCGTCTGTCCAATCATACCCACTAACTCTCCGGTCAGGGCACTCATCTGGACTGTGGCAGACCCAAATCCCTGCTCTACCTGTTAGGGATCAGGGACTGGAACGCAGGTCTCCCATATTGCAGAAGTGCTCCAACCACTGGGCTACAGGATATTCTGCGATGGGGTCTCAACTCTGTAAATGATCCTCACATTCAGCGATCGACCTGGACTCCTCAGCACTGCTCAGGGGCTGACAATCGCTGCTGGCAGGCGTCCTCTTCCTGCAGGAGTCAGGCTACTTCTGGGGCCAGGATCTCCCCACTCCACAAAGGGGTGCAGGGCTCAGGTGCAGATTATAACAACTCTACTAAAAACCCAACTCCGGATCTCCTGCCCCAGCGCTCAGCCACGCGCCCAGCAGGCAGGCAGCCCTGAGTGAGCACTAAAGCAGCACTGGCCACGTGGAGCCTGGTCTAGCTAGGAGCTGTAGGGTTCACGCTGCCCGGCTGGGGAGGGAATTTTCCCACAAAACCCTGTACGCTGGGCGCTCTCCTGAGGAGTGAAAGCACCAAGCTGAGGGATGTTGCTGCCAGGCACATGGAGGCCAGTTCTCAGGGGGACCCTGCATGCAGGCCTGGGACTCACCAGCCCCCCTACACCAGTCCTGCCCTTACAGTGACTGGCTCCAGCTCCTCCAAAATGGCTTCTCCCCTCTCCCAGCACTCCCAGGGGCGGCATCTCACATCCTGCTGGTCACCCTAGTTCTTCTTCCAGGGCTTTGACTTGTCAATCATGTGAGTGTACCCTCCCCCCCCGCCTCCAGACATGGCCCCTCCTCTGAGCAGGCGGCTGGTGGCCATCCAGGCATGCGGCCATCCTCCCCCGAGCTCCAGGGGCTGTCCCTCGACATTGTGGCTCTCCTCGCTCCCTCGGGGCTGCTGACAGTCTCTGAATCTGCCCTTGGCTGCCTTCCTCCCAGGGACAGCGTGCGTCTCCCTGTGCAAGCAGTGCACAGAGCCAGGGGCCAAGCTGAGCTCCCAGGGGTACGGATTTATAATTGATATCAATTGGACCAGGGACTCTCTGCATCCCAGGCAAGTGCCCTAACCTGGGGCAAGTGCCCTTCTCTGTCTGGCCACATCGGTATTGAATTATACGCGGTGGGATAGTGTCAAGCCCCTCAAATCTAATGGAAACCAGATGGGTTTCCGAGGGAAAGCAGAGTGGGGAGCTGCCTAAACTAGCCAAGAGGAAATGCCAAGGTGAGGGGTGATTTAGGCACCTCAAAGGGAGTTAGGCACCTCCCTCTGCCTGGGATTCACAGCTGTGAACCCTGCTGCTCTTTCCGATAGGAGCCTAA